GGCGACAGAATGAGACTCCAATTCAAAAAAAAAAAAAAAAAACACAAAAACTACAGACCAGTACCCCTTATGAACAATGACACAAAAAATTCTCAACAAAATATTTGCAAACACATCTTGACAACATATTAAAAGCGTTAATAGTTTAATCCTTTTGACTAACTGGGATTGATTCTTGGAATGTAAGAATGGTTCAACCTATGAAAAAATCAACGTAATATGACATTAACAAAATGAAGGGGAAAAAAAGCATGATCACCACAATCAATGCAGAAAAAGCATTTTACAAAATTCAGTACCCCTTCAGATTACAAAACAAAAAATAAGCCTGATACAAATGGAATAGAAGGAAACTACCTTAACATAATAAAGGACATATATGAAAATATAACAGCAAATATCATATTCAATGGTTAAAAGCTTATCTGCTAAGATCAAGATGATGCCAACTTTTGCCCCTTTTAGTCTACATAGTTTTGGAAGTTCTAGCCAGAGCAATTAGGCAAGGAAACAAAAGGCATCCAAATTTGGAAGGAAGAAGTATAATTATCTGTTTTCAGAGGATATATATGATCCTTTATGTAGAAAACACTAAACATTCTACACACATTAAAAAAACTGTTGGAATAAAGAAATCTAGCAACATAGTAGGATACAAAGGCTATACACAATAACCAGTTTGATTTCTATATATTAACAGTATAGGCCGGGCTCAGTGGCTCAGCATGTAAATCCCAGCACTTTGGGAGGCCGAGGTGAGTGGATTGCTTGAGCCCGCAGGGCAAGACCAGCCTGGGCAACCTGGTGAGACCTGTCTCTACAATGAAATAAAAAATTGCTGGGTGTGATAGCACGTGTCTGTAGTTTCTGCTACTCGGAAGGCTGAGGCAGAAGGATTGCTGGAGTCCAGAAGGCCTACACTGGGGTGGCCGCAAGCATGCGTGCCACTGCACTCTAGCCTGGGCAAAGGAGTGAGACTCCAACACAAAAAAAAAGAAAAAAGAAAAAGAAAAAATTCAGAAAACAATCCCACTTACATTAGCATCAAAAGAATAAAGTACTTGGGAATTAACTTAACCAAGGGAGTAAAAGACTTGTACAGTGAAAACTACAAAACACTGCTGAAAGAAATTAAAGAAAATACAAATAATTAGAAAGCTATCCATGTTCGTGGACTGAAAGACTTATTATTGTTAAGATGATCATACTACCTACCTCAAAGCAATCTACAGATTCAATGCAATCCCCTATCAAAATTCCAATGACTTTTTTTTTTTTGTAAAAAAAGAAAAATTCATCCTAAAATTCATATGGAATTAATTTCAAGGGATCCTGAATAGTCAAAACAATCTTAAAGAACTAAGTTGGAGGGTAAACATTTCCAGATTTTTCAAAACTTGCTGAAAAGCTAAAGTGTGATACTGGCATAAATACAGACATACAGACCAATGAAAAAGAACAGAGAGCCCAGAAATAAATCCTTGCATATATGGTCAAATGACTTTTTACAAGGGTGCCAAGACCAAGCAATTGGAAAAGGACAGTCTTTCCAACAAGCAGTGCTGGAAAAACTGGCTATCCACATGCAAAAGAATGAAGCTAGACCCTTACTCAACACCATATAAAAAAATTAACTCAAAATGAATCAAAGACCTAAATTTAAGAGCTTAAACTATAAATCCATCAGAAGGAAACTTTGAAGAAAAGCTTCATGATATTGGATTTGACAATCATCTCTTAAATATGACACCTAAGGCACAGGCAACAAAATAAAAAAATAGACAAACTGGACTTCATCAAAATTTAAAAGTTTGAGCCGGGCTCGGTGGCTCAGCCTGAAATTCCGTGCTTTGGGAGGCTGAGGTGAGTAGATTGTCTGAGTTCGCGGGTTCAAGACCTGCCTGGGCAACTTGGCAAGACCTCATCTCTACAATAAATCAAAAAATTAACCAGGCGTGGTAGCATGCGCCTGTAGTTCCAGCTACTTGGAAGGCTGAGGCGGAAGGATTGCCGGAGCCCAGGAGGTCGAGGCTGCAGTGGCCGGGAGTGTTCTACTGCACTCCAGTCTGGGCGACAGAATGAGACTCCAACTCAAAAATAAAAATTTAAAAGTTTGATGCATCAAAGGGTACTAGCCAGAGTTAAAAGGAAACCCAGAGAACGGGAGAAAATATTTGCAAATCATATAACTGATAAGAGATTAACACCCAGAATATATAGAGAACTCCTAAAATTCAACTGGGGGGGAATAGAGACAAAAAAATAAAAATAAAAACAGGCTATGGACTTGAATAGACATTTCTCCAAAGAAGATATATAAGTGTCCAAGAAGCACATAAAAGGATACTCCGGATCACAAATTATTAGAAAAATACAAATAAAAACCACAATGAAATACCACTTTGTAACTATGAGAATAGCTATTACCAAAACAAAAAAATGCCAGGTGCAGTGGCTCACGCCTGTAATCCCAGCAAGCCTGAGCCCAGCAAGTTGAGGCTGTGGTAGTTGTGAGCATGCCACTGCACTCCAGCCTGGGTAAAAGAGTAAGACTTCGACTCAAAAAAAAAAAAAAAAGAAAGGTGGAGTAGGAGGAGAAAGAAAGTAAGAGTTAATGAGGATGTGGAAAAACTGGAATTCTGCATTGCTGGTGGGAATGTAAAATGATGTAGCCACTGTGGAAAATAGTATGGTGGTTCCTAAAAAAAAAAATTAAACACAGAACTAACATTTAGTCCAGCAACTCCACTTCTGAGTTTATACACGAAAGAAGTGAAAGCAGGGACTCCAATAGATTTGTTAACATCAATGTTCATAGCAGCATTATTTACAATAGCCACAAAGTAAATGTCCACAAATAGATAAACAAAATGTGATATATACATACACTGGAATATTATTCAGCCTTAAAAATAAATGAAGCCAGGTTCGGTGGCTCAGTTTGTAATCCCACGCCTTTGGGAGGCTGAGGTGAGTGGATTGCCTGAGCCCGTGGGTTCGAGACCCGCCTGGGCAATTTGGCAAGACCTCATCTCTACAATAAATCAAAAAATCAGCCAGGCGTGGTAGCGCACGCCTGTAATGCCGGCTACTCGGAAGGCTGAGGTGGAAGGATCCCCGGAGCCCAGCAGGTCGAGGCTGCGGTGGCCAGGAGCGGCCACTGCATTCCAGTCTGGGTGACAGAGTGAGACTCCAACTCAAAAAAAAACAAAAACAAAAAACAACAACAACAACAACGAGAAAAATAAATGAAATTCTGATACATGCTACAACATGGATAAACCTTGAAGACATGATGAAGTAAGCTTGACACAAAAGGATAAATATTATATGATTTTACAAATATAAAGCATCGAGAAGTAGTCACATTCACAGAAACAAAGTAGAATACTGGATACCAAATCTGGCTGGAGGAAGAGGGAAAGGAAAGTTATTGTTTAGTGGGTATAAGTTTTAGTGTAGAATGAAGTAAATGTTCTGGAGATGGATGGTGGTAATGGTTGCATAACAATGTTAATGCACTTAACATCAATGAACTATACACACAAAAAATGGCTAAAACAGAAAACTTTACACGCATTTTACAATAAAAAACAAAACACAGGCCAGGCGTGGAAGCTCATGCCTATAATCCCAGCACTTTGGGAGACTGAGGCGGGAGGACTGCTTGAGCCCAGGAGTTTGAGACCAGCCCAGCCTAGGCAACATAGTGAGACTTCGTCTCTACACACACAAAAAATAAAAACATTGGCCAAGCATGATGGCATGTGCCTATAGTCCCAGACACTTGAGAGGCTGAGGCGGAAAGATTGCCTGAGCCCTGGAGGTTTAGGCTGCAGTGAGCTGTGGTCATGCTACTGTATTCCAACCTGGGCAACAAAGACCTCAACTCAAAAACAAACTAACAAAAACCCCAAAACAAAATATTAAGCAAAGAAAGAAAATAAAGTTACATTTCCGAAATTGGTGCAGGGAGTAGGGAGGGGAAAGGAGAGCTTCTTTTTTTTTTTTTTTGAGTTGGAGTCTCACTCTGTTGCCCAGACTGGAGTGGAGTGGCTGCTCCCGGCCACCGCAGCCTCGACCTGCTGGGCTCTGGCGATCCTTCCACCTCAGCCTTCCAAGTAGCTGGAACTACAGGTGCGTGCTACCACACCCAGCTAATTTTTTGATTTATTGTAGAGATGAGGTCTCACCAAGTTGGAGAACGTCTTAAAGTTAAAGGTAATAGGAATGAAAGAAGGTGGGATCAGAAATTAGGAATTAATTGGTAAGCAGTACTATACTGTCTAAATAGTTTTATTTAGTGCTTTCGGAACAGATGGTAACAAATATGAAAAGTATCTAGGATTAAATATCCAGGAGGAAGATGGAAATATAAAGTATTTAATGAACAGAGATCTACTGGCAGGGTAACTCAAGAAACAGTAAGACTTCTACTCCTCGCTAATTTAGATCTTTGTATCAACACCTGAGGAATTATATTTTACTTTTAAAATACAATGTTTAGAAAACTTACAGGGCAGATTTTCCTGTGCGGGGATCTATATAGGTGGTTGTTCGTCTATTGTGGTCCACAAAATATGGAATTCCATCCACTGTGAATCTCATTTCCCAACCTTCAGGTAAGGGCTTTTCATTTAATTGACTATAAAGCATAGGAAAAACAAATAAATCATATTAAAGAGTTGTTTGTTTGCCAAGTACAGAAACTAAAAATATCCATAAACATAGCAGAAAATCTTTTAGAAAACCACTTAGTCTGGTATTTTCAATTGTGTACTAGACATCTCTATCTGAACATCTTACACAAGAGGTTGATCAACCACCATTCAGTCTTCTCCCATCTACTTGGCCTATGTTCCCCTCATCTAGCTAATGACCTGTCCTAAACATCTCATGATAACCACACTCTGCCCACTCTGCCTTAGAAGAGTCTTCATGTTCACCCCTATTTTCAATTCCCAGCACCACCCTTTCTCTGGCTTTATTCATCTCTTCTGCATTTTCTCAACAACAACCTAACCGGTTTTCCTGCTCTGGTCCCACTCTGGCCCTACTCTTATATTGATATTGCTAAAAGAATATCTTCCTAAAATAGAGATCTCATCAAATTCTCCATATGGCACTCAACCAGCCTCCATGTTCTTTTTATTAAGCAAGTCCCTCAGTGTTTCCTTTCAGATTTATCTCTGCCCCAAAAACCTCCAGCATTCTTCCATGAATCCCACGATTTCAGAATATGGCTATTCAGCATTTCTCTAAATGATGATCTGTCACACCTGTAAGTGATGTCCCACCACTTGCTCCAAATGCCTTTCTTGTGCTAAAGCAACTCAAACATCATTTACCACTTTCAGTTTGTGTTTTTGGCAACAAGTTTCCACCTTGCAATTGTTACATGTGTTTTAGAATAGAAACTAAATTATAAGCCAATAGTGACTTATATAAATGACTTAATTTTAATCTGTTATATATTAAAATAATTGGGGCATTAGCATAAATATTCAAAATCATTTACTAGTGAACCTAAAAGTTTTTTTTTTACATTTCAAAATATTATACTAGAATAAATATGAGAACTGTAAGTTATTTCCTTTTCTGTCTTTATTAGTATATTCTGATACAAATGCAGCCAGTCTTTTTAGTTCATTTAGTTGTAATACATTTTAAAAGTATAAATTTTATCCATATGTGACCGTCATTTTTTTCTGTTTTATAGGCTTCAATTTTCTCATGTGGTAGATCTGGTATGAGAGGGAACAATGGAATGTTTAAGTTCACATCAGAAAGGAAGAAAGGGAGAGTTGGGGGGCATTTAGGCTCACTGTTGTAGAGAGCCACTACTGCTGTTGGCAGTATCAATTTTCCTCAAGTGCACTTCAGAAGAACAGAGGGTGAGGCTGAGCGCAGTGGCTCACACCTATAATCCCAGCACTCAGGGAGGCCGAGGTGAGAGGACTACCTGAGCCCACGGGTTTGAGACCAGCCCAGGCGCCTTGGCGAGACCTCATCTCTACAAAAAATCAAAAAAATTAGCTGGGCGTGGTGGTGAGCATCTGTAGTTCCAACTACTTGGAAGGCTGAGGCGGAAGAATCACCTGAGCCCAGAAAGTTGAGGCTGTGGTGGCGATGAGTGTGCCACTGCACCTCTGCCTGGAAAACAGAGTGAGACTCCAACTCAAAAAAAAAAGAACAAAGGGCTGAGAACCATTACCTAAAATCATATTTTGCAAAGTATGTCAAAAGGTTAGGAATATACAGCTATATTCACATACCTGAATACAAATGTTAGATAAAACAGACTAACAAAAATGTGAAAAAGAGATTACTCATTTGTTATAATTATATTTGCAAAATAGGCTCAGTAACAAGTCATTGTCCTGAAAACAAAACAAATTAGATAGAACTAGGTCATCTGTGTTGTTAAAATATGATTCTAACTTTAGCTTTAAAAGTTTAAAGGTCCAAGGGGGAACAAAAAAAAAGGTGACTTCTCCAATTCTATCCTCAGAGAGAGAATTTTAAAGTAACTCCATAAAAAATGCTGTCAGCCAGGCCTGGTGGCTCAGCTTGTAATCCCAGGACATTGGGAGGCTGAGGCAAGTGGATTGCCTGAGCACACGGGTACAAGACCAGCCCGGATAACTTGGCAAGACCTCGTCTCCACAATAAATAAATAAATAAATAAATAAGCCGGCCACGGTAGCACATGCCTGTAGTTCCGGCTTCTTGGAAGGCTGAGGCAGAGGCCGACAGATTGTTGAAGCCCAGCAGGTCGACGCTGGGGTGGCTGTAAGTGTGCCACTGCATTTCAGACTGGGCGACAGAGTGAGACTCCAACTCAAAAAAAAAAAAAAAAAAAAATGCTGTCATGTGTTGGTAGCCAGAGACAGATATTTTACATTTAAAGAAAACCTTTAGAACAAAGTTATTAAAACTTCTAAGCAATGGAATATGTGTAGTAAAAATTAATCACACCAAAAGGGAGGTCTGTCTGGTCTTTCTTAGTAACTGGGTGATCTTCAGGCCCCTGGAATGTCCTGTCCATTATGAGTATCTTTTTTTGCCTGGGGCTTTTTAATCACTAGACAGTTAACAATGCTGATTTATGATGGAGATTTTGGAACATGCCGTATTAGTTTTGACCTTGAAAGGAACTAGAAGTTAAAGGTATTAGATGAGATCCCCAGTAATGGCTAGAAACAAAAGAACAGCCAAAAAGGCAGCATGTGAAGCCTCAATAAAAACTCTGGGTATAAAATAATTCCCTGGTTGGCAATATTCAACATCAATGTATGTTGTCCCACAACAATGCTGGTTTTTAGAACTCCTAGACTCTGCCCCCTTTGCATCTCTCCCTTTAACTGGTTCTAATTTGTATCCTTCCTCTGTAATAAATGTAACTGTGAGAGTATAATAGGTTGCAGTGAGTTCTGAGTATTTCTAGTGAACTATCATACCCGAGAGCCGTTGTGGGGAACACCCGGATTTAAGGTAGTTGTTCTGGAGTGAGTGGTCCTAGAGACCCCTAAACTTGTGGTTGATGTCTGAAGAGAGGGCAGTCTTGTGAAGGACTGTGCCCTCTGACTATACAGGCTACCAAAATCTTCTGACAGTTTGACAAATACACAGTATTATAAATGTTATAGGCAGAACTGTACACCCTGCTAGCTGCCAGTACCTCAGAAAGTGACTTTATTTGGAAAAGATTAACTGTAGATGCATTAGTTAAGATGAGATCACATCAAAGTATAGTAGGCCACTAATGCTATAGGACTAAACATCCTTATAAAAAAGAGGAAATTTGGACAAACAGACATATACACAGGAAGAATGTCATGTGAAGATTGGAGTCATGTTGCCATAAGCCAAGGAACTACAAGAAGCTAGGAGAAAGACCTAGAACAGATCCTTCTGTAGTGCCCTGAAAGGGAGCATGGCCTTGCTGACATCTTAATCTCAAATAGCTTGTCTTCAGAAATGTGAAACAATACATTTCTGTTGCTTATTTTATTATTTTTATTTTATTTTTTTGAGTCGGAGTCTCACTCTGTTGCCCAGGCTGGAGTGCAGTGACATGCTCATGGTCACCATAACCTTGACCTGATGGGCTCAGGCAATCCTTCTGCTACAGTCTTCCAAGTAGCCAGAACTACAGGCATGCGCCACCATGCCTAGCTAATTTTTTAATTTATGGTAGAGACAAGATCTCGCCATGTTGCTCAGGGAGGTCAGGCAATCCTTTCACCTCCGCCTCCCAAAGTGGTGGGATTACAGGAGTGAGCCACCTCACGGGGTCCATTTCTGTTGTTTAAGTCACTCTGTTTTTGGTACTTTGTTAAGATGGCTCTATCAAATAATGTTAAGATGGCTCTATCAAATAAATACATATAACTATTATATAAGATAAGTAATTGTATATCGATAGTTACAAAAACATCCCAGCTAGACAGGAGAAAGAGGTGAGAGGATTGCCTGAGCCCAGGAGTTTGAGACCAGCCTGGGCAACAAAGTAAGACCCTGACTCTAAAAATAAAAACAAAACAAAAATATTAAAAAAGACAACCTACGCTGGGTATGGTGGCTCATGTTTATAGTCCCAGATCTTTTGGAGGCCAAAACAAGAGGATTGCCTGAACTCACAGGTTCGAGACCTCACTGGGCAACTTGGTGAGACCTCATCTCTACAATAAATCAAAAAATTAGCTGGGCATGGTGGCGCATGCCTGTAGTTCCAGCTACTTGGAAGACTGAAGCGGGAGAATTCTATCCAGTAATACAAGGTTAAAAAGACCATAAGAAGTACTAATCTGTTCTTACTAATAATATAGTAAATATTTTGAATCTGTACATGTATTCTCAAGTTCCTGTGAGGTTTTACTCTACACTCTCAACCCTCAAGCTTTCCATTATATAAAAGTAATAGTATAAATTTTTCTCTTTCCAAAGTATGTAGGAGATTAATGTTGAAGGCCTTTGGTGAAACAATATTTAACTATGATCTTCTTCATAACTGAGTCAGAAATAAGGTACAAACTTTAAGAGACCATGTATCCAATAATAACTAAACATTCTTACCCTTGACTTCTAGGGTCTTCCCATTGTGTAATTCGAGTGTTGTGGTTCACAAAATATACTCTGCCATTGCTGTCTGTTCTCTTCTCTTTGTTTGAAAAATAAAAGCAAAGCATTAGCACTGGCATAGTGTCCTTCCTCAAACTAAAATGATATGAATTTACCTGTTTCTTATGACACTGTTGACTTTATTCTCTCAGTATTAAATGTACATACTTACTAAAGTTATATAAATATCATTACATTCTAGAAGCTAAATAGACTTAATTCACAATGTCCTGTCCACAGGACCTTTCAGCTCACTCCAACAAACATCAACAAGAATTATTAACAGTTATTTAGCTTTACACACATGGTCTGATTTTTATTCTTAATAGTTTCATGAGATGGGTAATTTTACTTTTATCCTGAAGAAAACGTAAATAGGTTATGTGATCTACCAGAAACCTCAGAATTAAGATGCAGAGATAAGATGGAAATGTAGGACATATTTTTCATAACACATCATCACAATATAATTAGGGGATATAAATTAAATGTTTCTTTGATATATGGTGAACATTACTCAACTAGAAAAGACATTGTTTCTTTTTTTTTTTTAAATATAGCCTATTCTTTAAAATACCCAGTTCCAAAATCCCAAATATCTATAACAACTTTCTATGAACCGGGCAGCAGGGCTCAGCTATCCAATTACTGTGTGCTACTTATTTACCACTTGCCTTTTGCTTTAGGATTCTCCTTGTTTTTTTGTTTGTCTGTTTGTTTTTGGTTTTGAGTCAGTAGCACAAAAATAATTCACCACAGCCTCCAACTCTAGGGCTCTAGCAATCCTTCTGTATCAGCCTCCCAAGTAGCTGGGACTACAGGCATGTACCACAACACTCGGCTAATTTTTTTCATTTTTTGTAGAGATGAGGTCTCACTATGTTGCCTAGGTTGGTCTTGAACTCCTGGTCTCAAGCGTTCTTCCCACCTCGCTGGGATTATAGGCATGAGCCACCAAACCTGGCCAGAACTTAATACTAAAATTGCGAAGATATTTGATTTGGTTATTAAAAGAGAAAATGATATCTCCATGTTTTCTTAATCTTTCTTTTTTTTTTTTTGAGTTGGAGTCTCACTCAGTCGCCCAGACTGGAGTGCAGTGGCCGCTTCTGGCCACCACAGCCTCACCTGCTGGGCTCTGGTGATCCTTCCGCCTCAGTCTTCTGAGTAGCCGGAATTACAGGCATGCGCTACCACACCCGGCTGATTTTTTTGATTTATTGTAGAGATGAGGTCTCGCTGCCCAGGCGGGTCTCGAACCCGCGGGCTCAGGTAATCCACTCATCTCAGCCTCCCAAAGGCGCGGGATTACAGGCTGAGCCACCGAGCCCGGCTTTTCTTAATCTTAATGGGGAAATCTCAGGTAATCGGGGGAAATTTTGTAGAATGGGAACAAAAAAACAAGTAGAGGCTGCGCACAGTGCTTCATGCCTATGATCCTAGCACTTAGGGAGGCGGAGGCAGGAGGATTACTTGAACCTAGGTGTTCGAGAACAGCCTAGGCAACATAGTGAGACCTCTTTCTACAAAAAAATTGTAGAAATATAGATATTAATTTCTTCCCAGTGCTTATGGAAACACTTTGCTGCAGGGCTACAACTGGCTAAGATGAGAGATGATTAGCCAGGTGCAATAGCTCACGCCTGTATTGCCCCACATTGGGAGGCGGAGGTGAGAGGATTGCCTAGGCTCACGGGTTCAAGATCAGCCTGAGCAACATGGCGAAACCTCGTCTCTACGATAAATAAATCAATAAATAAATTAGCCAGGTGTGGTGATGCATGCCTGTAGTTGCAGCTATTTGGAAGGCTGAGGCGGAAGGATCGCCTGAGCCCAGCAGGTCGACATTGGGGTGGCCCTAAGTGTGCCACTGCATACCAGTCTGGGCTACAGAGTGAGACTCCAATTTTAAAAAAAAAAAAGAGAGAGATGATCTCAGTGGTTCACTCTATCCAGTGTGGCTGGTTCTCTTGCGAGCTTCTTGAGGACAGGGACCTATATATACTTCTGTGTTCCACAAAGTCACTTGGGCGGTTCTCCTCCCATAGAACATGGGCTGGCCCACGCTGATGCTTGGGGGTCTATTAAATAAAGAATTTAAACCCTGAGGGCTTCCTTTGATAGCCAGGCTTGGTGGCTTCCATGTGTAGTCCTAGCTACTCGGGAGGCTTAGGTGGAAGGTTGCCTGAGCCTAGAAGTCAAGGTTGTGGTAAGCCATGATCCTGCCACCGCACCCTATCCTGGGCAGCAGAGGTGAGGTCTCACGATGTTGCCTAGGCTGGTCTCAAACACCTAGGTTCAAGCAATCCTCCTGCCTCAGCCTCCCTAAGTGCTAGGATCACAGGCGTGATGCACTGTGCAAAGCCTCTACTTGTTTTCTTGTTCCCGTTCTACAAAATTTCCCCCAATTACCTGAGATTTCCCCATTAAAGTTAAGAAAACATGGAAATATCATTTTCTCTTTTAATAACCAAATCAAATATCTTTGCAATTTTAATATTAAGTTCTGGCTGGGCATGGTGGCTCATGCCTATAATCCCAGTGAGGTGAGAAGAACACTTGAGACCAGGAGTTCAAGACCAACCTGGGCAACCTAGTGAGAACTCATTTCTACAAAGAACGAAAAAGAAAATCAGCCGAGTGTTGTGACACATGCCTATTTTCCCAGCTACTTGGGAAGCTGACGCAGAAGGACTGCTAGAGCCCTGGAGTTAGAGGCCGTGGTGAATTATTTTTGTGCTACTATATTCTAGCCAGAGTAACAGGATGAGATCTTGACTCAAAAAAAAAAAAGAAATCGTGCTATCTTTGAACTACTGACTTCTCTCTTCCATCACCAATTAATTCATCAAAAGATGGGATTCATCCTGTAACTGAATTTTTTAATTTGTTCAACATATCTGAAAATGAGTAACTGATGAATTCAAACTTTTAAAAAAGCAGTTTCTAAGAATCAGCAATTTTCAAACAAAAATGTAAGATTAGCCCACGCTGACAAAGATAATTTTTACTTCCTATATTTTGAAGAATTGATACCTATTCTTCAAGTAACATTTATATCCTTTGGCTCTTTCCTCAAGCAAGATATTACAGGATGAGACTTAGTCCAAATTATAGCCTTGCCAAGTGAGTATTTGGTAATATTTAGTTCTATTTCTAGCACTGACTCCAAGATTTCAAGTAGCACTGATGATAGGAGTTACAATGAAAGCACTATTATCACAAATCTGTGCCTGACATCTCAGCTACTCTCTATGTCAACAGAGCCTAAAATGGAAATAGAACTCCAAGTATGCATATCATACAGAGAAAATGGGACTCTGCATATCATGACACACCCTGAACGGTAACATGGACTTTGCTGATCAAGGCCTGGTGAGTGCAGAAACATGCCACCAACTCTAACGCAAAAAGAAGCACCCACAAGGCAAAGCTTGCACTTGTTACATGACAGCAAGTTAAGTTAGTTTCATGTGACTTCCAAGACATTAATTTATTTGCAGATACTAGAACTGTCTTCTTTTCCAAAAAACATATATATCTGGCTGGTGTGGTAGCTCATGCCCATAATCCCAGCACTTTGTAAGGCCGAGGCAAGAGGATTGCTTGAGTTCAGGAGTTTGAGACTGCAGTGAACTGTGATCACTTCTGCACTCCAGCCTGGGAAACAAGAGTGAGACTCTGACATACATACAAACAAAATATGTGTGTGTGTGTGTGTGTGTGTGTGTGTGTGTGTGTGTGTAATTTTAAAAAAACTGTTATAACCTCAAAAGCACAGCCTAAGTACACGGTTGAGCATATATTCATTTTTCATCTGCTATATAAGTTCAGATTTCAGGGCCAGAGGTTTTCTTCCCAAAGGCTAACACAAGACTGGGGGTGGTGGCTCACACCTGTAATCCTAGCACTTTGGGAGGCTGAAGCAAGAAGATCACTTGATGCCAGAAGTTTGAGACCAGCCAGGAAAACATAATAAGAGCCCATTGATTTTAAAAAAAAAGAAAGAAAGAAAAAAACAGCAAAAAAACCCAGAAGTTAGCATAAGGCAAGATAAAATTAACAGCAATAGCAAACTTGTTTCCTATTTATGTTCTAATTACAATGCTGATAACAGCAATTCTTGGAAGAGGCTATGAAAAACAAAATTTCAAAGGTAGACATACTTGCAAACTGAAGGCTTATGTAGGCCAGGCGTGGTGGCTCATGCCTGCAATCCTAGCACTTTGGGAGGCCGAGGTGGGACGATTCCTTGAGCCCAGTTCAAGACCAGCCTAACAACATTGCAAGACCTGGTCTCTACAAAAAAAAAAAAAAAAAAAAATCAAAAAATTAGCTGGGCGTGGTAGTACACGCCTGTAGTCTCAGCTCCTTGGGAGGCTGAAGCAGGAGGATCATTTTAGCCCAAAAGTTTGAGGCAGTAGTGAGCAGTGACTATGCCATGGTACTGTAGACTGGACAACACAGTGAGACCCCAACTCAAAAAAAAAAAAAGAAAAAAGAAAGAAAGCTCATCTATTTAATAAGAGGAAGTACCATGGCTGTAGAACTGATTTCTTTCTTTGTTGAAAAACATCATGTGATAAACAACACTAAAATTACTGAACATCTAGCCAAGTGTGGTGGTGCATGCCTGTAGTTCCAGTTACTTGGAAGGCTGAGGCAGAAGGATCACCTGAGCCCAGCAGGTTTAGGCTGCAGTGGCCGTGAATGTGCCACTGCACTCCAGCCTGAGAGACAGAGTGAGAAAAATTACTGAATGTTAAACTTGAATGTACATTAGAACATTTCCTGACTTGAAGAATAAATAATAAAAGAGAGACACTTCTTATAATTCTATGTATTCTTTTATAAAACTATGAAAATGAGAAAATAAAGATATAAATAAATAAAGTATAAAGAAATATTTGATGAGTAAGCCAGCTATACAAAGTCATATTACAAAACACTGTTGAGCTGGGCTCGGTGGCTCAGCCTGTAATCCCACACCTTTGGGAGGCTGAGGTGAGTGGACTGCCTGAGCCCGCGGGTTCGAGACCCGCCTGAGCAGGCAAGACCTCATCTCTACAATAAATCAAAAAACCAGCCGGGTGTGGTAGCGCACGCCTGTAATTCCGGCTACTCAGAAAGCTGAGGCGGAAGGATCGCCGGAGCCCAGCAGGTCAAGGCTGCGGTGGCCGGGAGCGGCTACTGCACTCCAATCTGGGCGACAGAGTGAGACTCCAACTCAAAAAAAAAAACCAAAAAACACTGTTGAACCAAAAGCATTCTTTGCTCTCTAGTGTCTATAGGATGTGTGTGCATGTGTTAAAAATTCTTCACTGCCTAGCCAGGCACAGTGGCACATGCCTATAATCTGAGCTACTCAAGGAAGCTGAGGAAGGAGGATTGTTTGAGGCCAGGAGGTCATGGTTGTAGTGTGGAATGATTGTGCCTGTGAACAGCCACTGCACTCCAGCCTGGACAACTTAGCATGACCCCGTATCTTTAAAAAGCAAACAAATGCTTCACTATCAGCTTATAAGGTGGTAATGTCCTAGCATACAAAAGTCTGAAAAGGTAACAAAGTTGAACTTAATATATATGGTGTCACAAAAATAAAGCCATCAATCTCAGAATGAAAACACAGGCTGCAAGCTGAAATTCCATCCTGTGTCAATCCTGAGGACATGTAGGTGGGTCTCCTCATCTGATACAGTACCAGTGCTGTCGCTGGTTCTACAAATAAGGCATATTCCCCAAAGGCAGAGAGTCAAAAAGCAGCACTCAGCCTGAGTAGATGGATAATCATAAACTAGCTTAGGAAGAGTGTATCACTTCAACTTCAGGAATATGAATCCTAAGACTAAGCAGGCTATAAAGCAGCAGGGCAGGGAGCTGATGACCTGAATAACTAGGTCTTTAGAGGGAGTAGTTTTGCAAAGTGTTATTGGCTAAAACAAAAATAAGAAAGATTTGAATAATGAGGAAAATGATCAATACAGAGAGCAGGGCCAGTTTGCAGGCAAAGCTTTTCTAATTAAGGCAGCACAGTCCACAATTTAGGCTTCTATAAGCAAGAAGCAATTTTTCCTACAGCTGCTCCAGGAGTAAAATGTGTTTCTGACCATAACTGTGAAGCAGTAAAATTAAAATTTTCTGCAATAAAAATAAGAAGATAAATACATGATCTTCACATATATCCTGTTAGTGCACCAGTTTCTCCTTCTATAACACAAGACATATAACTCCACAAATGAAGCTGGGAATGCCATCCATGTCTGGGAATGCCATCTGACATGTCAAGTTCAATATACCTCATAAGGGCAACATCCCCTCTTCAAAAATGCTTCATATAAACTATTCAGTGACCACTCTGAGTCTCCAGTAGAGGGTCCTTACCTTTAAACTGCCAGGCTTTGGGGAAGATAGAAAGAAATTCACACCTTTCCTATGTCCTCCCTTTGTTACAAGCTAATAACAATAACAATTCTAAGTACGTCTAATACATTATTTTTAACTTTTTGACTTCAGAAGTGTTTTGAGGATAAAAACCTTAATGAAACAAAAATGAGATTTCTCAAAGAAGGACCTCCATGGGCAGTATCATTTACTAGCCATATCCATGTTGTCTTGACATGTCGATTTTTTCTCCATTACTTAGTAGTGCCTGAGCAACCTGTCTTGGGGACCAATATTTCCCAACAAGACTATCTAGAAATATGTTATTTTAACTTACTAAATATCATGAAACATATTCAGGTCTTTAAGATAAAATTCTACCTGGTTCCATAACTAGCTTTATTTTGTTGTTTTCCAGTTCCTAGATTCTATTTTCGTTTTCATGGAATACTGTTTCTGTATTGCTATTCTGAAACCTTGCTACAGCACTATGATTATGATGCAATAACATAACACACTTGGTAGGGTAGGCCCAGCTTGAAGTCTATTAACAAAAAATCTATTTTAATAACTAAGGTACCAAATACTAAATAACAGAGCATACTCATGTGCTTCACGGTAAAGGGCACAAAATCGTCACCCTAAATGTTGTCTTTCCACTGCTCTATTCCAACTCAAACTGAACTCTGTTTCAAAAAAAACAATGTGATTGCAATCTTTTTACTGACTTTTATAAAAACAGAGTCTCACTGTCACCTAGGCTGAATGCAGTGGCACAATGACAGCACACTGGAGCCTCAAATTCCTAGGCTCAAATGATCTTCCTGCCTCAGGCTCCCAAGAAACTAAGACCACAGGTGTGTGCCACCACATCCAGTAATTTTATTTTTTGTAGAGCTGAGGGAGGGGAAACTCACTATGATGTCCAGGCTGGTCTCAAACTCCAGGATTCAACTGATCCTCCCTCTTGGGCCTCCCAAAATACTAGGATTACAGGCATAGGCCACCATGCCCAACTGTAATCACAATCTTATTTAAAAGCTTTTTATTTTGAAAAAATCATTACTCATTCATATGTACCCTTCAACCAACCAGCTTCCTCCAATATGACATATTATATATAGTTCAATATCAAAACTAGGAAACTGACATTGATATATTACTATTAATTACAAACCTTGCTTAATTTTCACCATGTTTTTTTTTTAGTTGGAGTCTCACTCCACTGCCCAGGCTGGAGTGCAGTGGCACACTCATGGCTACCCCAGCGTTGACCCTCTGGGCTCCAGCAATCCTTCCACCTCAGCCTTCCAAATAACCAGAACTACAGGTGCATGCTACCATGCCCGGCTAATTTTTTGATTTATTGTAGAGATGAGGTCTCACCAAGGTGCCTGGGCTGGTCTCGAACCCATGGGGTCAGACAATCAACTCGTCTCAGCCTCCCAAAGTACTGGGATTACAGGCTGAGCCACCAAGCCCGGCCAATTTTTGCCATTTTAAAAGCTGAATTTATTTATATGAATGCATAGTTATATGCACTTTTATCCCATATATAGATGTATGTAATCACCACCATAATCAAGATACAGAATTGTTCCATCATCACATAAAAACCCCTTTGTTCTCTTATATTTGTACACACCTCCCACCTACCCTATTTCCTAACAATTACTAACCTGTTCACCATCGCTGGTTTTGTTGTTTAGAGAATGTTAAATAAATTGAATCATATACTATGTGATCGTTTGAGATTGACTTTCTTTACTACAAATAATGCCCATTGAGGTCTACTCAGATTACTTTGTGTGTCAATAGTCCAGTCCTGTTTAACACTTAGAAAAATAAAATAAGAGTCAATCCCAATAAACTCTATTATAATAAGAGTCAACTTAGAACATTTGTGGTATTTAACGCCTATGTGGTACTCTGACTTAAACTGACATATTCAAAAAACTTCCTAGATAGTCACTCAAGCAAGAGCAGAGTATCATCCATAAATATCTGATTTTTAAAATGACAGAATTCTGGCTGGGCGTGGCAGCTCATATCTGTAATCCCAGCACTTTGGGAGGCTGAGGTGGGAGGATCACTTGAGCCCAAGATTTTGAGACCAGACTGGGCAACACAGCAAGAACCCATCTCAAAAACAAAAAAAAGAAAAAATTTTTATTATTTAAAAAAGTAATAAATAAAATGACAGAATTATTTTTTAAATAAATAAATAAAAAGACAAAAAAAGAAAAGAAACAACAGAACCCAACGAAAAATCTCGTGGAACTTACCCCATCCAGGTGGCAAAGGACCAAGAGGATCAAATTCTTTATTTTGTGATGTAGCAAACAGATCTTGATTCTAAAAAGGACCAAAAAGTGAAAAAACGATTGGCAACTTAAACAGATTATTTAAGAGCAAATTTATGAGTTCTGATTTGCTTTCTCTGGCCATACATAACATATAGAGTTCACACCTCAAAGAAGCATCACATGGTTACAGATAAATGCCAATATACTTTAGCTGGGTAAAAAAACAAACAAACAAAAAAAAAACCTCCTACAAACATTATCTAACATTTAAAATTACTTAAAACTATATGCTCATATAGAATCTCATAAACTCAGCACCAAGATTCAACAATTATCAAGACATTATACAAATATGTAATCCTCATCCCCCAATACTGTATTTTCCTTCTTACAAATGATAATATATAAACATCCACCCAAAAATCATTCATAATACTAGTACCCAGTCATCAAATAGCTGAGAAAAATCTTGCATGTGTAGCTCAAACATAGATGATCATATACAGAACATGAAATATAGAAGGAATTATGAGTAGATGGGAAAGAAAGAAGAACAGGCTGTCAGATGAATAAAAGGGAAGAATTTCAGTTGGAATATGTTACTGAGCCTAAAACTGTATGAGTTATCTTAAAAGTTCTGTTTGCAATGATCACATTGATGGAGAGAGAGTTTTGGCTACATAAGATAAAATAAAAGGTGGAATCAACTTTTGGAAAAGAGAAGCAGGTGTCATCCTCATTCGGTAGGGACAAGGAGTGTGGTTTAGTTTAAACATATAATCAAATAGAGATAAGTATGTGATGACTCAATAAGAATTGGTTGCCGGGCTCAGTGGCTCAGCCTGTAATACCAGCACTTTGGGAGGCCAAGGTGAGTGGATTGCCTAAGCCTGCGAGTTTGAGACCCGCCTGGGCAACTTGGTGAGACCTCAGCTCTACAATAAATCAAAAAATTACCTGGGCATGGTAGCGCACGCCTGTAGTTCCAGCTACTTGGAAGGCTGAGGTGGAAGGATCGCCAGAGCCCAGCAGGTCGAGGCTGCAGTGGCTGGGAGCAGCCACTGCACTCTAGTCTGGGTGATAGAGTGAGACTCCAACTCAAAAAAAAAAGAAAAAGCTGGGCTCGGTGGCTCAGCCTGTAAATCCCACGCCTTGGGAGGCTGAGGTGAGTGGATTGTCTGAGCCCGTGGGTTTGAGACCCGCTTGGGCAACGTGGCAAGACCTCATCTCCACAATAAATAAAAAATCAGCCGGGCATGGTAGCGCGCGGCTGTAGTTCCAGCTACTTGGAAGGCTGAGGCAGAAGGATTGCCAGAGCCCAGCAGGTTGAGGCTGCAGTGGCCAGGAGCGGCCGCTGCACTCTACTCTGAGCGACAAAGTGAGACTCCAACTCAAAAAAAAAAAGAAAAAAAGAATTGGTTAAGCCCTTTCTTCTTCAGTAAGATAAAACAAATAAGAGAGGAATTGCTTTAAAAATCATTTTATTATTAAAAAAACAAGTAAAGGCCAAGTGCAATAGCTCACACCTGTAATCCCAATACTTTGGGAGGCAGAGGTGAGAGGACTGTCTGAGCCCAGGGGTTCCAGACCAGCCGGGGTAACTTGACAAGATCTCGTCTCTGCAGCAAATCAAAAAATTAGCTGGGCATGGTGGCACATGCCTATGATTACAGCTACTTGGAAGAACTGCCTGAGCCCAGCAGGTCAAGGCTGTGGTAGCCGTGAGCATGCCACTGCATGCCAGCCTGGGCAACAGAGACTCCAACTCAAAAAAAACCCAAGTAAAATAGGACAGTGAATACCATATACTTAGCACTAAGATTTAACAATTATCAAGACATTGCCACATTTCTTTATCTTTTTGTCCAGCAACTCGCTGAAGCAAAAATCTTACCCCTATATGTTGTAGTATGCTCCTCTAAAATTTATGGACATTTTCTTACATAATCACAGTCTCATTATCATACCTAGCAAATAGTCAACAATAATTCTATCATCTAATACCTAATCCATAATTAAATGCACAATTGCTTATTTGTTAAAATCAGGATCCAAACAAAGTTCTCACATTTTATTTAGTTGTATCTGTTAAGTCTCACTCTAGAGCACCTTCTCCATTCTCTCTGTTTCCTTTTTCCCAATGTCACACTAACCTACTACAGAAACAAGGTGGACTGAATGGGTTTTAGAGGATACAAAAGTTATGCCATTTCTGATTTAATAGCATGGAAGATAGAGCTGCCAAGAACTGGCCTTGCTCCTCCCGACTGACACAATTATGAAGAGGAGTGAGAGTAGGAAGGCCAGCAGGAAATTAAAAGGTTTGAGCCCAAGTTATAGATCAAGTCTGAAAAGTTTCGTTTATGACAAACTAGACTAATTTTTTTTTTTTTGAATCAAGAGTCTCACTCTGTCACCCAGGCTGGAGTGCAGTAGCATGATCATGGCTACCACAACCTCAACCTGCTGGGCTCAGGCAATCCCTCTGCCTCAGCTACCTGAATAGCTGGGACTACAGGTGCGCCACCACACCCAGCGAACTTTTTTATCGATCGTAGAGACGAGACCTTGCCATGTTGCCCAGGCTAGTCTAAAACTCTTAGGCTCAGGCAATCTTCTCAACTCAGCCTCCCAAAGTGCAGGGATTACAGGTGTGAGCAAGTAATAGCACCAAGCCTTAACAATTAACAATTAACAATTCCTTAAGACCCAAGTCTACCCTATTGGTTCTCCCTGGACAGATTAAACTGGGAACATGCACAATGAAGCCATGGGCCAGGAAAAGCCATTATACGGTATTTCATCATGGATCATATATCCATTCTGAGACTTAAGAGGCTGGATGTATGACAGTCTACTGCCCTGTAATAATGACTAGAACAACAAAGACTACTTCAAATGCTTGACAAAAAGACTGTTTTTCAGTAACACCCCACCATTTTTTAAAATGTTAAATTCATTCATGTCAGTTCACAACTTTGGCTATGTAAAGTGTAACTAAAATAGGCTGTTTAAATTCTATGTAATTTGGAACCGCTTTATAACATAAAATAATTTCAGAAAATTAGCCAAATTATTTTGGAGTAGAGAGAAAAAAAAGAATACGGACGATGAGGTAAAAGCTGTACTTCAATAAAAATTCCGACCAGTTACAGTGACTCATATCTGTAATCCCAGCACTATAGGAGGATCACTTGAGACTGGGAATTTGAGATCAACCTAGGCAACAAAGTAAGACTTTTTCTCTACAAAAAATCAGCCAGATGCTGTGGCAATCACCTGTAGTCCCAGCTACCTGGGAGGCTGAGGCGGAAGGATCTCCTGACCCAGGAGGTCAAGGTTGCAGTGAGCCATGATTGTGTCACTGTACTCTAGCTTGAGCGACGCAGTAAGACCCCAAATCAGAAAACAGAAATAAAGAGCAAACAAAAAAATTCCAAAGACTCTGAGTACTAAATTGGTCCAGTTTACAATAATCAATATACATAATAGTTGCTCCAGAAAATTTGCTAAATCTGCCTTTAAAAAGAATGTTTTAAAATATTAGGTACGGCCAGCCTCGGTGACTCAGCCTGTAATCCCAGCACTTCGGGAGGTTGAGGCAAGTGGATTGCCTAAGCCCGCGGGTTCGAGACCAGCCCAGGCAAACTGGCGAGACCTTGTCTCTACAATAAGTCAAAAATTAGCTGGGCATGGTAGTGCACACCTGTAGTTCCAGCTACTTGGAAGGATGAGGTGGAAGGATTGCCAGAGCCCAGGAGGTCAATGCCGGGGTGGCGGTGAGCATGCCACTGCACTCCAGCCTGGGCAACAAGAGTGAGATTCCAACTCAAAATAATAATAATGACAGTAGTAGTAATAATAATAATAATATAAAATATTAGGTACTACAAAAAAGAGATAAAGAGATAATGGGCAGATTTACAGATGTGGATATGAAAGAGACAAAAGATAATAACTAACATTTCTAAGTATTCAGTATGTGTCAAATACATTAGAAAATTTATTTTACAAAATCCTCAAAAAAAACCCTCAAAGGTAAATATATATAGTAGAGGTATTGTGTGTGTGTGTGTGTGTGTGTGTGTGTGTGTGTGTGTGTGTATATATATATATATATATAGTATAGAGGTAACCATATATATATATGCATATATATTTTAAGATAAACTAAATATAAATATATATATTTTAAGATAAAGTAAAAGAATCTTTTTGAGTTGGAGTCTCACTCTGTCGCCCAGACTAGAGTGCAGTGTCCACTCCCAGCCACCGCAGCCTCCACCTGCTGGGCTCCGGCGATCCTTCTGCCTCAGCCTTCCAAGAAGCTGGAACTACAGGCGTGCACTACCACGTCCGGCTAATTTTTTTATTTATTGTAGAGATGAGGTCTCACTAAGTTGCCCAGGCGGGTCTCGAACCCGCGGGCTCAGGCAATTCACTCACCTCAGCCTCCCAAAGCGCGAGATTATAGGCTGAGCCACCGAGCCCGGCTTAAAAGAATCTTAATGAGGTTAAATAAGTTACTCAAAGTCATATAGACAAGTAACTGTGGAACCAGGATTCAAACTTGTCTGGCTCCAAAGTCCATGCTCTTTCTCCTGGACACACATGTGGAGAATAGTTTTAAAGAAGGCAGGCAAGCTAGGCAATCAAACCTAAAAGAAATTTGGCCTGGCATACCAAAGATGATTATAATTTAGAAGGAGAGTAAGATGCAAAACAGCATAGGAAAAAAAATGAAAAAAGGGTAAGGTAGGTAAGAGACTCAAATTTCATCTCCAAAACTATTGGGTAGAGGAATATGGTAAAAACTGTCTAGACAAAGTGGCAGGAAAAATTGTTAAATGAAAGAAACGCATCCTAGTCATAACCAGGGAGTAAAGGGAAGCTTCTGATAAAAGTGAGCTGTTTACATCAGTGAGTGATAGCTATTATGATGACGAAGTACAATAAATAGGAATATGACGAAAAGGGAAGAAAGCAATGCCTGGTGAGGACAGGAAAATGAAAGGTACTGTTTTACTGTGATGGATTCTAACTGGGATGGTACTGATGGCAGTGGAGGGGAAGAGATGGTGATGGAAAGAGTCAGCTCTTGTTTGGCACAGAAAATCAAATTTGTCAAAGGACTATTTTCCTTTCCTCAGAGAAAAGATCTGTGATACTTTATGACTTGAAAGATTATAACAAAGAAAGCATTAACTTTGGTATACTTATCACTATTACCTCAATAATACTCTAAAAGAAAATATATCAAGAGATATTCTACCCTGAACATACTTGATCTCGTCTAAAAAAAACTATGTAAAATGTAAACCATTTATTTCCAGAAAAGAACTGTTTTTATAACAAAGATAACAGTTCTGGAGCCAGAATAATATAATTGGCATACTCCTATAAGGAATCAAATTTCTTTAGTATCCCAGAGTACCAAATAATTCATTAGATAAGCTTTATCTCTACACATTAAAAAGTGATTCAACTTGATTAGCAATTCTGCACAATCATGTCCAGAGTCAAATACTCTTAGACTCAAGTCTCCAAATGTTCTGTTAAGTCGAGGTAGTACTAAATTTGGAATTGTTTTAATTTTTTTCAAACTTCTTGGGTTTACTTTTACTATTCTTTTATTCATGGATTTTAAGGTGTCCTAACTTCTTTTTTGTATGTCTCTGACATTAAAAAGAGAAGGAAGTTGGACTTGAGGAAATTACAAGAATAGACAATATACAGAGAATACTCCAGACAAGGTCTAAAAATAATACATACTAACAGCAACAAATGAGTTGCCACACTACTTGTGCCTGTTTTTTAGTGCTTTACATGACACACGCTGCAAAGGGTTAAAAATGGAATACTATTCTTAGTCCATTATACAGCAGGCTGCTTACCCCATAAATGAATCTCTGGTTGAACTGTTGCATCGCCCCTTGAAGCTGACTACGTTGTAGCTGCCACTGTTCATAGTTCCGGACAGATTCCACTGTTGGCCTCTGCCACGTTGTTGTTCTTGTGAAATGGTCAACATAATAAATACGTCCCATGTTATCAACACGCCGCTCCCAGCTAAGTGAGAAAAAAAAGCTAATTCAACAAATACTTGTGAAACAGGAGCCTTAATTGTGCCTCTGATTTACAAGAAAAAATATTTTAAAACTAAGTAAAATTTTTTTTAAAACTTGTGAAACAGATATAAAGTTTTACTTTAAAAGCTACGTTTAACTTACCTGAAGTCTTACATTTTTTTAAATGGTCTGTAAGTGAACTTAAGAGAAATGTTTCTAAAAATTTCTTAAGATGCATTAGTCACGCTAGGAGCAGTGGCTCACGCCTGTAATCCCAGCACCTTGGGAGGCAAGCAGAGGTGAGAGACTGCCTGAGCCCAGGGGCTTGACACTAGACTGGGCAACTTGGTGAGACATCATCTCTACAGTAAATCAAAAGATTAGCCAGACATGGTGGTGAATGCCTGTAGTTCCAGCTACTTGGAAGGTGAGGCGGAGGGATCACCTGAACTCAGCAGGTTTAGGCTGCGGTGGCCATGAGCATGCCACTGTACTCCAGCCTGGGCGACAGACTTCAACTCAAAAAAAAAAAAAAAAAGATTAGCTGGCTGTGGTGATGCATGCCTGTAGTTCCAGTTACTTGGAAGGAGGAAGAAGGATTGTCTGAGCCCAGTAGGTTGAGGCTACAGTAGCTATGAGTGTGCCACTGCACTCCAGCCTGGGTGACAGAGTAAGACTCTAACTCAAAAAAGAAAAGAAAAATAAGAAAAAAGTTATCAGTTTCTTTCCAATGTTCTTTTTATTGCTACAACCAAAATAAGGACACAAATTGTATAGTTTTCCAAAATATCAAAAAGCATTTTTTTCACATGAATACAACTACCTTCTTATTTATTACTGTAAATGCAATTTAAATAGCTTGCAAATGCAAGATATTTAATTAAGTAAACGTTGATAAGATAACTTGATGATTTCTGCCTCATTGTTTAGGGTTGTTTCCAATATCCAGATATTATAAGTAGTAAAATAATAAAATATTAGTACACTAAACTTTTTTGTTCCTCTGAATTATTTATTTAGGATGAATTTCCTAGCAAGGTTATTATTATGGAGATATAAACATATATGTATTTTCTGTAAGTGTAATTAACGTATTCTACCACCAGTAATCTACAAAGTTCCTCATCATCACTTGATATTATTTGATAGTTTTTTTTTTTTTAATAGGAGTCTCTGTTGCCCAGGCTGGAGTGCAGTGGCACACTGCTCACGGCCACTGTAGCCTCAACCAGCTGGGCTCAAGCAATCCTCCCGCTTCAGCCTTCCAAATGGCTGGAACTACAAGCATGCACCAACATGCCCAGCTACATTTTTGATTTATTGTAGAGATGAGGTCTCGCCAAGTTGCCCAGGCAATTCTCTCACCTCGGTCTCCCAAAGTGCTGGGATTAGAGGCATGAGCCACTGAGCCTGGCCTTTATTTGATAATTTAATAAGCAAAACAGTACCTTTCAACATGTGTTTCTTGACAATTACTAGCAAGGTTAAACATTTTTCCATGTTTCCTATTATTTTCCTTGGGTTTAAAATACATTTTTTTTCTTCCAATTATTTTAAATAAAGTACATGCTAAAAGCTAAATACAATGTATATGTCCTTAACTTCCCCAACTATTTGGCAATGACTTCACTATTATATACTATAATTTTTTATATAATAGAAACTTCACCTTATTATATATTACAGGGGCTATAATTCTTATTCAGTTAAATAATTACTCTTAGCCGGGCTCGGTGGCTCAGCCTGTAATCCCGCAGTTTGGGAGGCTCAGGTGAGTGGATTGCCTGAGCCCACGGGTTCGAGACCCATCTGGGCAACTTGGCGAGAACTCATCTCTACAATAAATCAAAAATTAGCTGGGCGTGGTAGCGCACACCTGTAGTTCCAGCTCCTTGGAAGGCTGAGGCGGAAGGATCACCGGAGCCCCAGCAGGTCGAGGCTGCGGTGGCCGGGAGTGGCCACTGTACTCCAGTCTGGACAACAGAATGAGACTCCAACTCAAAAAAAAAAAAAAAAATACTCTTGAAGGAACTAATCCTAAAACTCTGCAGTTCTGAGCCAGGTAAATAGTTCAGACAGAAAAACTTGAAGAACAAGACCTATAGGGTGTTTAGGTCAGAAATGAGTGAAAATAAAAGTTATTCATGATGCTCTGAATAAATCAATTCTCTAGCTCTCTTCTTTCTAATTTTCACCTACCATAAAACAAAGTGGATAGAGAAGGGACTGACAGAAAGAGGAAAAACAACAACGTCAGGAAGACAACATGTAGCTACAATCCACGACTCTGACTGAACACAACTGTCCTTTTTAAACGCAGACACTTACCCAGGAGGCAGAGGTTCTGGTCTATCCCACGTGGTTCTTTTCTCAACATGATCAACATAGTAAACTCGCCCATGCTGGTCCATTCTCTGCTCCCAACTTAAACACAAAATTAAGAAGGCTGGTGGGGTACTTGTATAAGCAGCTTGGCTTTTTAATCTCGTCTTTGTCTTCTTCTCTTAAATGACCATATTATAGAACTGAGGCAAATAATCATGCCAGTTTATAAAGAAGATATCAACAGAATTTAGGAATAAAGTCAAGAAATGTCATCTTCTGAGGGTGCCACACAATGAAAGAGATTTTTTTTTACACAACTGTCTCCTTTAGGAGACAACCTGTATTTCTAAAGAGGCTGGAGGTCAGTCGATCTAGGAGACCAAAAGTCACTCTCAATCTCATCAGGGTATACTCAAGGAGCTTAGAAAAGAATGCATTAATTAAAGTTGTAAAACCTAGGCTAAGCCGGGCTCGGTGGCTCAGCCTGTAATCCCGCGCCTTTGGGAGGCTGAGGTGAGTGAATTGTCTTGAGCCCGTGGGTTCGAGACCTGGCAGCGAGACCTCATCTCTACAACAAATAAAAAAATCAGCCGGGCGTGGTGGCGCATGCCTGAAATTCCGGCTACTCGGAAGGCTGAGGCGGAAGGATCGCTGGAGCCCAGCAGGCAGACGCTGCGGTGGCCGGGAGCGGCCACTGCACTCCAGTCTGGGTGACAGAGTGAGACTCCAACTCAAACAAAACAAAACAAAACAAAACAAAACAAAACAAAACCTAGGCTAGGCATGGTGGCTCATGCCTGTAATCCTATCACTTTGGGAGGTGGAGGCAAGACTGCCTGAGTCCAAGGGTTCAAGACCAGTTTGGGCAACTTGGTGAGACCTCGTCTCTACAATAAATCAAAAAAGTAGCCAGGCATGGTGGTGGACACCTGTGGTTCCAGCTACTTGGAAGGCTGAGGCAGAAGGACCACCTGAGCCCAGAAGATAGAGGTTGTGGTGGCCCATGTGAGTGTCACTGTACTCCAGCCAGGATGACAGAGGAAGGGAAGGGGAGGGGAAGGAAGGGGGAAAGTTATAAAACCTAAACATATACTGAAGGGCATTAATCAGTCTGAATTCTAGATTAATTAAAATTAAAAATAAAAAAGGGGGGAAGTCTGCAGATTAGCAGAGTATTCTAGTCTCCTTGGTAGGGTTATCCTCAAAGTGAAGAATATAGGAGCAAACCATCATAGCTTGGAATTAATAATGACTTCTAAAAGCACTCAGTTTCTTTTTGCTGATCCCTCACACAAACAACCTTCTAATTTGGCTTCCGAAATTGTAGACATTCCAAAAGGAAAATTACCTATCAACATAAGAAATATAATCTGTGTAGTAATTAAAATGATCACATGAGATAATTTATCAGCCAATTAATTAATTTTGATTAGCATTCTGAGCTCTGGTTTAATTTAATGTCATTATGTATATGTGTATAAAAATTACACTCAAGAGTATCTTAACACATTTGCACCTAGCAAATTTTTCACTTTCCTAATACTGATTGTGGGTGAAAATAAAAAAAAAATCTGAAGCTGGTTGCCACAAACTTCTGCTGTTAAGCACAAGTGAAATGATCTTTTCTAAATTGTCACCTTTTAACAATATAGCTGAAAGTTGCAGACATATCCAGTATTTGCCACAGATATCACTCTGACTAGCATTCTGTACTTTGTATTTTTATTTGAATTATAAACCGAATATATATTATTCAGAAACAGAATTTGCAAACAAGTAAATTCACATAAGCGGTAACCAGGAACAGAATCTGTAATGATGTAATTTCACATCAGTGATCTTGATGAGTTAAAAACTGGCCAGAGGTGAGGCGTGGTGGCTGTTAACAACTGTGATCTCAGCACTTTGGGAGGCTAAGGTAGGAGGGTTCCCTGAACTGAAGAGTTCAAGACAGCCTGAGCAACCTCAGCTTTACAAATATTTAAAAACCTGCAAGGTGTGGTGGTATATGCCTGTAGTCCTAACTACTCAAGAGGCTGAGGCAGAAGGATCACCTGGGTCCAGGAAGTCAAGGTTGCAGTGAAGCGATGATCATGCTACTTACTGTACTCCATCCTGGGTGACAGAGTAAGACCCTGACTCAAATTAACAACAACAACAACAATAACAACAACAAAATAATAAATTGGTCAGGCATGGGGCTCATGTCTATAATCCCAGTACTCTGGGAGGACTAGGTGGGAGGATTGTTGGAGCTTAGAAGTTCAAGACCAGACTAGACAACATAGTGAGACCCTACTTGTAAGAAAAATAAAAAAATTAGCTGGGTATGGTATCACACATCTGCAGTCCTAGCTACTCAGGTAACTGAGGTGGAGGGATCACCTGGGCCCAGCCCACAAGGTCAAGTCTGTGGTGAGCTATGATCATGTCACTTCACTCCAGTCTGGGCAACAGAGTGAGAACCTGACTAATCAAAAAAGAAAGAGTATCTTAAAAATACTCAGTAGAGGGCCAGGTGCGGTGGCTCATACCTGTAATCCCAGCACTTTGGGAAGCCAAGGCAGGATGATTGCTTGAGCCCTGAAGTCCGAGATCACATATCAAAAATAATGGCAATATAGCAATAATAATCAAATTAGGGTGGGCACTAATTTCTCAGTTTTCTAATTTTTTTTATTTGAGTTGGAGTCTCACTCCATCGCCCAGGTTGGAATGCAGTGGCACATTCATGGCCACCTCAGTGTCGACCTGCTGGGCTCAGGCAATCCTCCCACCTCAATTTTCCAAGTAGCCAAAACTACAGGCATGCACTACCATGCCTGGCTAATTTTTTTATTTATTGCAGAGACGAGGTCTCGCCAAGTTGCCCAGGCTGTTCTCGAACCTGCGGGCTCAGGCAATCCTCTCACCTCAGTCTCTCAAAGTGCTGGAATTACAGGCTTGAGCCACCACACTTGGCCAGTTTTCTACTTTTTTGAAATTTTTATTTGTTTATTTTTAAGTTGGGAGTCTCATTCTGCCACCCAGGCTGGAGTACAGTGGCACGCTCATGGTTAACACAGCCTAAACGTGCTGGGCTCAGGTGATCCTTCTGCCTCAGCCTTCCAAGTAGTTGGAACTATAGGCATTCGCCACCAGGCTCACTTTTTTTTCAGTCTTCTACATTATCTATTACCTTGCTATAATAACTTCACAATGAAAAAAACTTGATTTCAAAAAGGGGTACTTTTCCCTCTTAAAGAAAGAACAATTTGCATTACGTGATTATTTTATTACTTGGCCTTGGTTACCTTTCAGGGTTCTTTAATTACAAAATATATTGTTCCATTTTGCCCTGGTAACAAGGGAGGAAATTTCAAATATGGTGAGCTTTCTTTGTTGACTTTGACTCCAGACCCCAAAAGAATCAGTTATAATAACTTGAAGAAAAGTTAGTGAAAGAATGGATTTAGCGTTATTTTCCTTATTAATGAGCATATGCAGAAGACTAAAGAAAAAAATATTAATCAAAAAAGTTACTCACCCAGGTGGTAAGGGAGCTTGACTTACAGGATTTAATGGTCTGGGGCCTGAGCCTCCAGATATAGTAAGAGGAATGATTAATCCAGATGTTGCTCCATCAGATGTATTTGTATTTGCATTGTTTGGTGGCAGAGAGCCTGTACTAGATCCATCACTTTCAGAAGTGGCAGATGGTGAGCCATTGACAGACGCTAGAAAAAATTGGGGGAAGATAGGGGAAAAAACCTTCTATTTTCTGAAATCTAAATTCAGAATAGAATTTTAACTTTAAAAAGTGGAAATGCAGATAACAAATTTGAAACTCAAGATGTGGATACATAGGTGAAAATTACTTAAAAAATAAATAATGGGAAATAGCCCATATCCCACTAAATAGCCCTGTTTACTTCTTGGGTCCTGTCTACCCCTACACCTCATTATTAATTATAAGACATATATAGATCCTCTGATTTCCCGATGTCATAGGAAAAAAAACTTTTTGAATAGGAATATGTTAGTATTCCTTGGTATTATGAGTTCATTTAGTAATTTTCCAGAGCCTTAAAACTGCTTTCTGATGAAACCCTAAAGATCAGAGACCAATTCTTAATGTTGGTTATAAAATATGGAAGATCTGACTGATAAGCAATAAAATTCTTACAATAGTAAATGTTCACTCATTATATCACAAGAAATACTTGTTGACAAAACAATTCCTATAGGAAGTCACCAATACTATGACAAAGAGGTATACAGTCTTAAAGACTTAGAATATACGAGGGGAGACCAAAAAAAAAACAAAAAACAAAACCAGAATTATCTCTTGGAGGACAGGTTCCTTGTCGTACCCTCTGAATTTGTTCCTCCAGATCTAATGGTCAACCAAAGTTTTTATCTGGAAGTTTTGAGAAAGATGCATCACAATTTGCAGAAGAAACATTATAAGTTGTAGCAAACAGGTGACTGGTTCTTCCACCATGACAAATCACCTGCCCACAATGCACTGAGTGTTCAGCAGGATCATACCAAAATTGGCATGATCCTCATGCCCTACCCTCCCTATTCACCCCATCTTGCCCCAAGAGACTTTTTTGTTCTTTCTGTAGAAAAGAACAGAAAGAACAAAAAAGTCATTAAAGGGAAACATCTTGGCAATGTGGAAGAGGTAAGATAAAAAACGCCAGAAGCACTAAAAGGCATCAAAATTGACTAGTTCAAAAACTGTTTTGAGCAATGGAAAAAGCATCCCAATAGGTGTACTGTATCAAACAGAGAGTACTTTGAAGGTGACTGAAGTTTAAACATGTAAGAATACACAATTTTTTATAAATAAATTCTGGCTTTTTTTGGCCCCCCCTCCCCCTTATACTGTTGACAGGCTGGGTGTGGTGGCTCACAACTATAATCCCAGTTCTTTCTTTAGGAGGCCAAGGTGGGAGGATCACTTAAGCCGAAGAGTTTGAGACTAGCCTGGGCAACATAGCAAGACCTCATCTCTAAAAACAAAAAATAAATAAAATTAGCTGGGCCTGGTATAATATGCCTCTATTCCCAGTTACTCTGTGGGCTGAGGCAGAAAGGACTGTCTGATTCCAGGAGTTCGAGGCTGTGGTAAACTCGGTTCATGCTACTACACTCTAGCCTGGGTGACAGAGTGATCACAACTCAAAAAAAGAAAGTATATATTGTTAACAAAATTATCTACAGAAGAAGGGGAAGATGTATAATTCAATATAATTATACATTAAAAAATGATTTGTAGAAAACTAATTTAATTTCCTAATAATATTTGGTATAATTACTTTGCATTCCCTGCCCACACTAGCAGAGGGAAATAATAAAAGATTAAAGATTTGTCCTGGCTAATCAGGAAATTGGATATTCTACCTATAGGTGCTCACATTTTAACTACACCAAAAAATGCTCATTTGTTGTGAACTTTGGCTTTAAAATCTTAATCATTTAGCATTGTTGGGTTTTCATTTACGAATTGTCTTTCTGCAGGATATAAGGAAATAAGCAACCAGATCCTTCACTATATGGCATGCTTGTGTCACATAGTCACAAACCATGCGAAAAAGTTTCAATGTTATCTGTACTGTCAATAATTTATATAATGCACATGTGATTTTCATTTTCAATAGAGTACTGCCTCAGTAATTCCACCCAGAAAAGAAAAATTTATGAAAAGGCACTTTTTGGTTGCCTATAGAAAGATCATTCTTCACCAAAATCTTAAATGTTGTAAAAATACAGCCAAAGTGCTAACCTAAAGGAAACTCCTGACCCTTATCTGAGGATCAATTTCCAAACAGCATTATTTACAATCAGAGTACTGAACGCTGGAATACACACCTGGTCTACGTGGGGTGGGTGGTGGTGGTCGTGAAGGTCTTGGAGGTCGAGAAGGTTTAAAACCACCATTTGAGAGTGATGGAGAATTATTGCCATTGGCTCTCCTATTTTCACCAGACCCTGCATCCTCAGGGTCATCTGATTCATTTGTGTTCACTCTGAGTAGGAAGGACAGAAAAAGAAGGAGAAGAAAAAAATAATAAATGCTCCTTTAGGAACATGAGAAAAGTTTTTTAATTTTAGACCAGTCCTATCAAATATATAAAGAGCCCTTGGGTAGAATCTTATATAACTCCCAGAACCCATCCAGACATAAAGTGAGGGGTTGCCCAAAGGCACAGAAATACTTAAGACCACGCAAAACTATTAAGTATGCTGGCTCATGTTTCAAATAAGTCATCAGAAGGCGTTATATAAGCATAAACAAAGTCAAGTTCTCGAAATCTCAATGCTTTTATCACAAGCACAAATAACTTCACTACTGGCCAGGTTTGGTGACTCAGCCTGTAATCCCAGCACTTTGGTGAGAGGATTGCCTGAGCCTGTGGGTTCGAGACCAGTCCGGGCAACTTGGCAAGACCTCATCTCTACAATAAATTAAAAAACTAGCCAGGCATGGTGGCGTGTGCCTGTAGTTCTAGCTACTTAGAAGGCTGAGGCAGAAGGATTGCCAGAGCCTAGCAGGCTGACGCTGGTGCAGCCATGAGTGTGCCACTGCACACTAGCCTGAGCAACAGAGTGAAACTCCAACTCCAAAAATAATAATAATAACTTCACCATCCTTTTTTTCTTGGTTTCCATAGGTTATAAATATCAAATCAAATTTGAGGCAGGGCTGGCTTTCCCATGCTAGGAGAACAAAGTACATTTATTCCCCGGGAACTGGGCACTGTTCCTTCATCACAGTACAATAGTACTATACAAAATATTCAGAGATAGTTGTCTAGAGTAGAGGTGCCCACAGACAATTTTTTTTAAGAAGCTGCTATTTCTTCGAAGAAATGGCATCAACTGAAGGGAAAGAAAAGGGAGAACACTCACAAAAATGTCAGACTGAAAGTTACTACTACCGTCAACTAAATGCAGTTGATACCTTTTCCCAGGGAGGATCTAATCATAGATTAGAAACAAGAGTTTAAGGGGGCCAGGCGCAGTGGCTCATGCCTAAAACCCAGCACTTTGGGAGGCTGAAATGAGAAGACTGCCTGAGCCCACAGTTTTGAGACCAGTCTGGGCAACTTGGCGAGACCTCGTCTCTAAAATAAATTAAAAAATTAGCCAGGTGTGGTGGCACGTGCTTATAGTTCCAGCTACTTGGAAGGCTGAGGTGGAAGGATCACCTGAGCCCAGCAGGTCAAGGCTGCGGTGGCCGTGAGCATGCCACTGCACTCCAGCCTGAGCAGCAGAGTGAGAGATTCTACCTCAAAAACAAAACAAAAGAGCATAAGGGGCCAATTTCTAGATGCCTCAGGTAGGGCTCTGATATCTACTATCTGCTAAACACTACATGGTATTAATCCATACTACTGCCATTTTCAGAACAAGCCTGAACAAAATAAAATCTAACAGATTCAAGAAATAGAGAGAAAGCATCATGTATTAATTTTTTTCTATAATACATGCACTGCAGTGTTTTTGTTTTAAATAAAAATGGTATGCATTTAAAGTATACAATATGATATTTTGATACACATAGACACATTGAAATAATTACTAAAGGCAAGCTAATTAACATCTCCATCTCCTTACATAGTTAACATATTCTAAAAGTCATTTTGAACCGTGCTCCCCAGAAATCCTTTAGGGCCTTTTTACTCCAAATGTGGTCTCTGGACCAAAAGCACAGGCACCACATAGGAGCTTGTCAGAAACGCACAATCGTGGAACCTATCCTAGCCCTACTATATCAGAACTAGCATTTTAACAAGATACCAGATTACATGTACAGACAGTAAGGTATGACAAGCACTGCTTTGAGGGTTCCTCAGATGCTTATTGAATAAAGGGAACACCTCAGTCAACTGGCAGTGTCTGGTTAGTGTTGATTGCCTGCAGGAAGGTCACACCACTCGAGAATAGCATCTAAATTCAGGAAGAGTCAGCTTTGACACTGATCCCCTTTCTCTAAATGAGGTTGTCAACCCATTTTGAGACTCTGCGTATTGCCTCTCCATATGATTTTAAGCATTTACTAGTTAGTTTGAAATAAGAGTTCTTGTTGCTTTTTAAATGACAACAACTGGTAGAATGGACTAAAAGTGGGAAATTGATGTTTCTAGTTCTGACACTGCTACTGATGAGTTAGTTATCCGACCAAAGACAAGGTATTTAATCTCGCTGCACTTTAATATCCATTATCCTGACTACATAATTCCTAAAAACATTTTAGTTAGAAAGTTCATAATGAATCGGACATCCAGTGCTAGACAAGTGTTAGGAATATAAGAGGAAGAATATTCAGGGCATGAGGTAAACCTGATATGATAAAGGTACAACAGAAATTGTATTCCAAAAATGCTATAATTTGTTGTTGAGGGTTACAACTGGGGAGATTTTTAATATCCATGCTGATCACTTGTCTGACATCCTGAACTGAACATAGTTATCTGATAACCTGTGCATTATGATTCCTTAAATTTCCTTGATACTTAGAAATGGTCCTCTTCCTGGATCTTGAACTCTAAAATCCCTCTCATTACAACTTCCTACAGCATCCTTTATTCAGGCTCATCATGACCTTCAACCCCTTTCAAACTTCACAGTTCATCAACTTCCTTCAAGTCTCACTTGGGCTTCATTCTTTGTTCACTTAGGCTACTTTCCCCTTTCCCTAGTATCTTTAATTATTTTACCTATGCTCAACTGACTTCCCTCCCAGTAATCCTGTCACTACAACTAATCCCTCTCCTACTTTTCTCACTACCATTTTCTGAGTCCAACAGATAATACTGGAAATGTTCCAGTTGAGATGCCAGGTGTATTTTAGTAGAGTAAATAAACTAGCATATTAAAGAAGCAGGCTGTTCCACAAATGGTCCTGATAAATTTTCCACTGGGTCCAGTAAAAAAAAAAGTTCTGAGGTTTTCACTTCCAATGACTCACAAGATAAAAAGGCTTCCCACTCTGTGTTAAAAAGAAGTCACAGCTAACCTCTGCTGGGAGCTAGGGAATTAAAAACAACAGGTGACTATGACAATCTAGTAGTAACACCATGGGCTCAATGAAATTAGTGAACTGGTGTTAAAATTAATAATAAAAAAAGTTAGTAGGTCAGGCACGTGCCTGTAATCTCAGCACTTTACTGGGGTGGGAGAGTTGCCTGAAGTCAGGAGTTCAAGACCAACCTGGGCAACAAAGCAAGACCACATATCTACAGATAAATTTTAAAAATTAGCCAATCATGGTGGCACACACCTATAGTCCCAGCTACTCAAGAGGCTGAGGCAGAAGGATTGTCTAAGCCTAGAAGATCAAGGCTGCAGTGAGCCATGATCATGCCACTTCACTCCAGTCTGGGCGACAAAGTAAGACTCCAACTCAAAAATAATAATAATATAACAATAATAATTTGGTAGGATAAAGAGCTCTTACTAGGTCATGTACAATCATACAGACTTGGGCAAAAGATAGAAAAACTTAAATCGTGCTTCATCGGTCTATATCTTTCTGTATAGAAAGTATTCAATTTTTTTTTTTCAGTTGGAATCTCACTCTGTGACCCCAGCTGGAGTGTAGTGGCACGCTCATGGCCACTGCAGCCTCGACCTGCTGGGCTCAGGCTATCCTTCAGTCTCCAAGTAGCTGGAACCACAGGCATGCGCCATCACACCCGGCTAATTTTTCTTGATTTATTGTAGAGATGAGGTCTCACCAAGTTGCCCAGGCTGGTCTTGAACCCATGGGCTCAGGCAAAAGTGCTGGGATTTTAGGTGTGAGCCACCACGCCCGGCTGAGGACACATCCAACTTTCTAAAGCTGGATTATGACAAAGAGTACAAGGCAACATTGGCTACAGTCGATATTATTAAAATTCAATTAAGTTATCCATACTGCTTGGAAACCAGTAGTTTCCTACATCTCTAATTCACACCTGGCCACATTCCCAGTGTCCACTGCAAACTTTTTTTGCCTCCTCAAATAAATTACCCAATCTGTAGGTGACCCTGACTCTTCCTCTTCCCTAAATGATGATAATCTGCTATTCCTCAACATTCTTCTCTACTTTCCCATGTATGAAAAAAAATTCCTGTGGTTCCAGATACTTGGAAGGCTGAGGCTAAAGGATCACCAGAGCCCAGCAGGTTGACGCTGGGGTGACCATGAGTGTGCCACTGCACTCCAGCCTGGGCGACACAGTGAGACTCCAATTCAAAATACAAAAATTATCTGCAATTCCACATCTTGAAAATAATTACAACTAAGAAAAGAGAATGTCTCTTGCCAGTTCTTTTTCATTGGCTATAACTGCAATCATTTATACTGTATAATGATTTTACATCCTGGGTCGGTCTTTATTTGTTGTTACTCAATACTACTGGGCATTACCCCTGGATTTTTAAAAAACACTTTGAATGAATGCAGAATATCATATAGATATCCCATAATTTAATCACTTTAATTTGTCTTTTTGTATTTTTTATTTCTTTCAGATAGAATATACCAGCTGGGTCAAAGAATGCAATTTCTTTTTTTGAAGTTGGAATATCATTCTGTTGCCCAGGCTGGAGTGCAGTGGCATGCTCTCAGCCTCAACCTGCTGGGTTCAGGCAATCCTTTGGCTGACTTCAGCCTTCTAAGTAGCTGGAACTATAGGCGTATACCACCATGTCCAGCTAATTTTTTGATTTGTTGTAGAGATGAGGTCTCGCTAAGTTACACAGGCTGGTCTTGAACTCGTGGGCTCAGGCAATCCTCTAATCTCGACCTCACAAAGTGCTGGGATTATAGGCATGAGCCACCTTGCCCAGCCTAGAATGCAAGTATTTTGAAGACTGAAATACTGATTGCTAAATTGTTCTTAAAAATTTTTTAACATCATAATTAATCTGTTCTCCCATCAGCTAAATACGAAATAACCATTTTACCATAAAGTTTAAAAATCTTTATATATTTGGGCCGGGCACAGTGGTTCACTTCACTTCTGTAATCAGAGTATTT